CCTTGGTTTCTCAAAATCCTGAGCCGATTTTTTACAGGTAAGTTTCCACATAGTTCGTCTAGATGGAAGGTAATATCCCAAGAAACAAAGTATCATACAAGTATGTTGAGAAAACTTTTTTACGACCAAAACCTGTCATAACGGTTATATAAACGGATATAGAACTTGTGTGTTTCTCGGGTTTATGATGACATTTGCGTCAGATTGTGGATCGTATATGTTTTAAGCCAGCATGAAAATTTATAATAACTGATTAGATTTTCAACCGAAACGTATCAAATTTTCACAGCGCAAAGCTGTGAATATGTAGGATAAATTATAATTATTGAATTGAATTTGTATCTCTTGATTTTTTGTTCAGTTTGATGTTTTGTTGAAAACTCAATTAGGGTATCCTTGATCCCCAATAAGAGTGTGATATTAGAGTGTGAAAAAATACATCTCTGTTTGGGGATACCTGTATTCAAATATATATCATAAACAGAGGATCAAGTGTCTTAAAACTGAGTTTCCTAGTTTATTTCAGAGGACGGAATGCATATATCATGTCAAAGGCTCCAGAGATTTATAAAAAAAATCAAATGCAAAGTTCCTGAGTCATGTCATCAAAGGGGGATCAAGTCTCACCCAATTTTACAAAATATGTTTTTAGGCATCTTTCAGAAAAAAAAAACCATAATTTCATGTTTGTATACATCACATACAAAGCATCCAATTTTGAGTATTTATAAACCTACAAAAGATGCGAGCCTGTGTGAAAACTTTCGAGTTTCGATTTTTTCGCTGAGATATATTCAAAATCAAGCGTGTACACTAGTATTTAGGCCAGCCTACCCGTGATGGAGTGGAATGATTTGTTCGCTGTGATTCATCATGCATAAGAGATACAGATTTAATTTATCAACAGAGCTGTAGCATATATCAAAACCTACAATAGCTTTATACATCATTTTACGAAATTCCTTTGATGAAAAATGTTAGAGTCAAATGAATGTAAATAAATGCACGAAATGAATGTAAATGGTTTTCCATGCCTGGTAGTGGGTCCGTGAATCCATGACCATCCGCTTGTGAATCGAAAATGTTACCATGTACGTTACAGGACTCCCTCTCCCCAAACAAGTTAGCTTAGGCTATGAAATCACTAAAGGTCCATGTTACTAAACGATCTTAAAATACCATACATATAGTTTCATAGTAAAAGCCTTAAACTCACATAAAATAATCCCTATGTCTATTTGCAAAGAAACAGATTTAACTCATCTACATCCAACCAACCAAAACCACAGTGGACAAAGAGTAAACGAAATCATGTCCGTATTACCAAACCTGCTATAAAACGAACGACATTGTACCATACATATGCAGCTAAGTAAGGAACCGATATTTGCACAGTCTTTTTCATTTCATTTGCCTCTCCATTTAGAGCAGCACAGGTTATGGAAAAGCTAAGTTTTAATCCCAGCAGATAAGTGTGAAATATGAAGGCTAGACTGACACAGAACAAAATTATTGCTTTCCGAAGAACTATGTGTAGTTGAGGAAGGTCAGCTGCTAAGCCCTGGATCGACTTTAATCACTTTCTACCCACAAGTCCCAGTCCACCAATTTGGGTAGTGTGGTTTCCCACTTTCCCCCTCCCTTCCCAAATAGGGTCATATGGCTGGTGAATGTAGAATTTACGAATGAGTCGGTGTCAAGCCTTCTATCCCATGAAAGTGTGAGCCGAAGACGAGTGTCCACATTAGATCCTGCATATTGAAGAAAGCACTCTGGAGAGCAGTTTATTATACAATTAATAGGATCTATTACGAGAATTAATCTTCTTTGGGATGTTTTATGGACGACAATGAGGGGTTGGGATGAATGGTGATTTGGTTAATGATAATTTAATTTGGTAGCCTAGGGACCCGAATGAGTTCGATCACAAAGCTGTCGTGATTTACTGGTGTGATATTTTAGGTTCAGCTACTCCTTTTGAAGTATTCACGGTAAAAGATTAGTTTTGGAGGCTGAGTTGTTATACACATATTATTTGTAGAGGATGTATAAAAATGATGTTAATGGTTAATGAAAGTGCTTCCTCTTTGCTGGTTTGGAACGCGACTCAAAATTTTGCCCCGCTGACTCGAACGTTTGTCCAATTCAAGCTTCCTGATGGCATATCAAAAGTCTGATATTTCTAAACTCATCTTCAAGAAAATACAATCATGCTTTGTAATAAAATTACCCCTTAACTATTCACAATGTTATAATTTATCATCGCGAAGCACACTGTTGCTAATTTTTCGAAAATGCCACAAATTTTTGTGGCTCAAAAAGGACTTCCAATCAAGTGCCAAAACAATGAGTTTTATTCAGCACAGGCGTGGAAAACTTCAAAACAACTTTGACTATATGTTTTAGTATTACTTCTGCGTGAAGTCAACGATTTACATAGTTGAAGATGCTAATTTCAAATAACAGACTGTAGTGGTAATTTTTATACGATAGATGGAGTAGATGAAAGCATAGAGTTGATAGTTCCGTTAGAGTACGGCAGTGTGAAAATTGCATATAGATATTAGAATAGCGAGCTAGGACAACTTTTAAGGTAGGTACGAATCGGTTTTTTCATCTCTCTTTACCAAACTCCCCCTTTGGAGAGGGATGGTGAGGGGTGTGTGTCCCCCCCCCCGCCACCACTGGCAAAAAGAGATGAAAACCGACCGCTCAAATACCAACGGTGTGTTTTAAACAGTTCTACCGATTTTTACCGCACTTCAGTTGTTATTTGAAGGAAGGCATCCAGTCGTAGGTTTGGAAATTGCAACTATTGTTTACCCCTACCACGATATGTGCTACTGTCATCGTCGACTTGACAATCTCGATGGCACACGGGTGGGGTAGGTGCTGCTACTGTACCTTTCGACATTGTTGTCCATTACGTTAAAATCACAAAGAATGTCATGGTTCACAACAATGAAAATCATGGTATTTGAGAAATTTGCAGTAGAAAAGGGGGGGTTGATATGCATCTTAACAACAAAAAAAAGTGATTTTTCTAGAACAAATTTGATCTTATCGCACTAATTTGCATTGTTTGAGCATTGTATCATTAAAAAACGAAATTTATTTTTCCTCCGTACAAAAATTTCACAATAAATTTTAATGTACTCCAAATTCAACAATAAAAATCATTGTAATTTCGTTGTTTTATTAAAAAAAATCGGGCGGTGGTGTAGTGGTCATGGTGATTGGAAGTACAGCTGTTGGTCCCCAGTTTTATCCAGACTTACTCTGAAAGTTCCTTCTGACTGACACCGGACAATTCTTACGATCAAGTTTGCAAATAAATATTACAGCTAAAATTCAATTTTTCGGAATTATGTAACATGAGATGTTATAATAATAATTTTAATAAGAAGCAAGCAGAGGAGGTAAAGTTTATATATGACACATAAAATCTGTGCTTTCAGAGGGTGATTTTAACAGTAATGAGTAATAACGATGAGTGAGCAATCAGCGATCATAAAAACGCTAATTTGTGGTCCTCTGAAAGCGACAGGTTTTATATGTCATAAACCTCCGCTTCCAGCATCTTACAAATAAAAATAAAATACAAATAAAATACATTATAATGTCTCATAATTTCAAAATTTTGAATAATAGGATTTTAACTGTGATGAGCAATTGCAAGCTAAATTTCACCAGTAAGCTCCTTCTGAATACCCCTAGAAATGCTGACTTGCCCCGGAGTTGTGTGCCGACTTCCTCTGGAATTTTCAAACTTGCCCCGGAAATTGCTTCCGACCTTTCCTGGATGCGTAGCTCTCGACAGACTCGGTAAACATCCTCTGAAAATTATGATTTTTTTTATGTTATTGATAGTTCTACCCAGCGTAAATCTCCCGGATATGGTTTAATAGTTGATGTGGGCTATCTTTAAAAAATCATACTTTTTAGCTGATTCGAATTACCAACAAAGTAACAACTTTGGTTTTATGAGGGTTCTGTAGACCATGATTTGAACTTTTGGAATGCTTTAAAAACTCGATAAAACTTAAAATGTACTTGGGTAGCTTCCGAGAGTTGAGAAACTTGCTTAAATCAGCGGGAATTAATTCCCTTAATTTTTTTAAATTATTTTCCTTGATTTGATTTCCGTCGATCTTGTTTTCCGTACTGAGTACCAATGCTACTGACGCCAGAGAGGCAGCTCCCACACCTATTGACCCATCAACTCATGAACTGGGGACCAACGGCTTTACTTCCCTTCCGAAGGAGGGCGTGGTCAGAGATTTTAAACCTCAGAAAATCCCGGCGGTGCCGACTGGTATTGAACCCGGGCCTTTTGGGGATGATAGGCAATCACGCTTACCACTACACCACCGGCGCTGCTAATTTCCTGGATGTAAATTTCAATAAAAAATATAGTTTTTAAATCATGTAATTTTTACAAAAACAAAACAAAAATACTTGCTGTGCCCCTGGTGCGTGTTTTACTAAATGTTTCATAAACGTCTATTTTAATTAACAATAACAACCCCAAATTGGAGCTTTACGCACATATTATTTGCATGCACTCGTCTGTTTTCTTTGTTCAAGTGTTGAAAGCTGAGATTTTTCTAGCGGTGGAAATTAGTATAAAATCGTACAAATCTGACATATTTAATATATTCGCAAATGTTACTGCACTAAATGCAAAAACCAAACAAATATCATACTTCTTAATAAAACTTCTTGGTGAATTATTCAACATGCCATATATTTATTTAGAAAGCTTGTAATCACTTATCCATCGTTCAAGGGGGCATGGGTAGGAGAGGTTCAGCTATTTTAAGCCTGATATTGACGTTAAGCATCTCCAACTATGTGAATCGTTAACTTCAGGCATGAAGTTATAAAAACATAATTAGTTAAAGAATTTATAGACCACTTTTCCCCACACAAACACACACAAACGAACACACACTAATTTTCCCAAGAAATGGAACGAAGTCGGTTGGTATGTCCAGGGCGCAGCAGTTAATTTATTTTCAAGTGATATTATATCTAGAGCGTACGAGAAAAGCAAACAAATTCAAGCAGTATTAGCACCTATAAGTATTACACAAATTTTCGCAACTTAAAGAACTGGTCGGACATAGTTAGGTAACTAGTCTCCCAGATTGGTTTGTTATTGGATTAGGGTTATCGTCTGCTTCCTTGAACTGCATCAAAATTACCAAATAAGTTGCTATAGCTCCACAATACTGTAAAAATAAAAAGAATAACATAATTTATCAGTAAATGATGCCCTACTGCATGATGGAATATCACAGTTGGTGATACTTACCGATGTAATTATATGTCTATCGATCGTACATAAACCACATGCGGTGAACACAGAATTATTGTCAACCAGCTGGCGCCAAAAATTCTCCAACTGAAGAGCATGATGATGGCACCGATTGGGAAAATGATGAAAAAAATATATATATGTATATACATATATCAAAATATATTCAGACGTCATCATTGTCAATCACATTAGCAATACATACACGTTCTTTTGCCAACGAATCCTTACAGGTTCTCATAAGATTACAAACAATGGTCATTGTCCGCCGGGCCTGAAAATGGCATTGAAGCAAATAGAACCTTTTATCAACGCTTAGAGTAAACCAAGATTACAAATGTATGTGTAGGATAGTAAAACCGCTTACCTCAACATTCGTAATATGGCAAGGCTCCACGGTTAGAATAAAACGAAAAATATGAATGAATAACCAAAGCGCCTGAATCCAGGAAAACACCGCATCCTAAACAAACAAGGAGAATGAACCTAAATCTTATTTTGGTGGAGGATTCTATTTACCTTATCACCTACAAGTTCAATCATCAAAAAGTACGAAGTGGCCACTAAATGCAGCAGACACGAGCCTAAAACTGCCAGTAACGCAATGCCAAACGTACTGAAATTTAATGAAGTCATATTTTTTTTTGCATAATGATTCTGGGTGGTTACCCGTCTATAATACATACTCACTTCGATACCAATACCACTCCAGTTGATAATGAGGCATGAATGTAGGCCAGGTCTTCAATCATACGATTCGAAGACACGGAAGGTCGTTTGTGACGAGCTGGCAATAGGTAATTTATAAAATTAAATGTGATTGAATGCGCAATGAAGAATACAGCTTCATAAAACAGATACATGTCTTCCATAATTAAAATGCCAGTCCATAAAGATAATATAGAATGACAGTAAATGATGAAGTTCATGGCAACTACCCAACTAACAATTTTAGCTGCAGATTAGCTTACACAAAACCAAAAATTGGATTATACAGCTAATATTTGCCTTTATCATCAAGTCTGCAGTTAAAATTGTTTGTCCCACCTATTTATTTCTGATTTTTTTTTTTATTACATAACTTGATAGCCCATGCAGGGAGTTTTACTTTAATGTGATTAAATAATAATTACAGAGGAATAAATTAATAACACTCTAGGATTGCATCCACTCAAGTTGACGTCTTTATCAAAGTTTCTTGTCTTTGTTAAAACTATAGTTTGGAGGAAAAAATGGAGTGCTGTATAAGGAGCCGATCGGATCTGTTTCTTATTTTTATTAGTCTAAGGAATTGCTCGTGATAATTTGATTAAATTGGTTTTTTGCATACGTTTTGTTCTCGAGTGATTTCAGTTTTGATCACATTTTGTTAGTTTTATAAGCTGTGCGCGATAATTTAATTTGACTGATCAAGTTTTTGCAAATGATGTGTTTTCTTGTTGCATAAAATTAATGTTCTACGATTTTTGACAATTTTTAAGCGTCCATAGTTTTACATATTCTGAAACATTGCATTTTTCATGAACTTTGAAAAATATACTTTTAGAGATATTTGAGTTTTATCACTTTTTTGGAATTTGTACTCAAAATAACAAAATTTACCCTGTATATTTATCCCATAAAGACTTCGCTTTTCGCACCAACTTTGTATCAGACGTCAGATCGATCAAAAGTGACGTTTTCGTGCTACTAGAAAAATGTCAAAGAAAAAAATACATGATCCAAAATCGCCGATTTTTTCCAAAAATGTGAATCCAAAGTTTCATGCAACCTGGAGAAGGTCGAGCCAACATTTTTGCTTTTTGGTGTGGACCTGATTAGCTTTGTGTTCTATGAATCGCTTGCACAGTTATTTATTGCATCATTCATATGTCAACCAACGAATTTGCACACTGCATGTCAAGCACAATGATCATACAAGCCCACAGAAGTTTATAACATTTCCAACCCAAAACATGCTCCAAGCCGGAATCGAACCCACCGCTTTCAGTTTGATAATACTGTGCCTTCACCGACTATGCTAACTGAGGCCCCGAAATATGAGTTTGTTTTTACCTACCAATATGGTTGATACGTTTATCAAATCGGCTTATAACATAATTAAAGACTTTTTAAAAAATTACGTTTTTCTATACAAAATACTTTACCAAACATTCATTAGTAACTTTTTTTTTATTATAGAAACACATTTTTGCTAATTATCATCAAATTTCAACCAATGGAAGATAAAATAGTTAAACATTGCAAACATGGCTTCACTTTTCAAGATAAAGATTAAAAATGGCATGTTACTTTAATATTGGGCTTTTCGATAGAACTTGTCGCTATTTTTCACTCAGTTCATAATCGAAAAATGGCATCAATATCGTCCTCAAAGAGAATAATCCTCTAAGTTTCCCAGAACTGCGATCGAAAAATCATGGGTAAAATTATTTGTATGTTGCTAATGAATTAACTTCCGACGCGACTGGCAGCATTGCAAAAGAGCTGTCGAAAGTACCAAGAAAAAAACATCAACAATCTTAAAGTTATGATTTTTTTAAAAGTCGGACTTGCGAAATATAATTTAGAGCTGGCGACACAATAATAAATCGATACCTATGAGAACTTCTTGGAGAAGATAAAAGAGTAGCAGATATCAGTTTAAAATAGATAAATGTTGAGAAATCAAGCTGAAGTTCCTAAGTAACATTGACAGATTCTCTTTGCATCCTGACGGCCATGTCAAGACAATCCCAGTTATTTTCAGCACAATGATCGATGAAAGAAGCTATTATCAAACTTCTAATACGATAAAAACGACAATAAACTGTTCTGTATCCAAGTTATTAACAAAAGAGAAAGTCGATGAAGAGAATCGATCAATGTTACTTAGGAACTAATGCATTGTTCAGCATGAAATATGAACCAGCTACGACAATACAAAAGCTCATGAGCAGTGTTTATAGTAAAGTTCTAACATATGGTTATGAAATTGATTGACTGCTGATGAATAAATAAAGAGAAAAGATATAAAGTAGATAATATGTTTTGAATGATCCCTGAAATTTGAAAGAATTCTGTTGGAAACAACATTTTTGGTATGACATTTTATGTGTGTAGTTTTATATTATCGTGCACATACTGCAGGCAAGCGTAGCGTACCAGTTACGATGTAATAGCAGTGAAGGAGAAGAAGAACACAGTTTATAGTAATATCAAAGGGTAAATTTATGAATTATTCTATTCGGATAATTAAGTAAACTACAAGCATGATCTGGCCAAATAATAAATTGTACTTCAATCCACTGATTTCCTTTTAGCGAATAATTAACCCCACGATTTATGCACCACTATTTCACTACCGCCAGCCGGATGAAGAATGAAATTAATTATTATGATGATGTTGACAGATAAAGTAAACATTGAAATGATTTATTCGCTCTAGTATCATCATTCCGACGGCTTTGCTTGGGGCAAAACTCTTCCTGAGGGATAAAGTTTGCGAAGTGAGCAGTAGATCCACGTGAAATGACAAATCGATCAGACTCGACCTTCTCAGATTTACCTGAAAATAATTGTGTTAAATAGGCAATTGTAATCGTTTGTAATAGAAAATCAAAAACTTTTGAGATGAACATTTTTTGTTAGTAAAATTTTTGAAACCTGTCTGGATTTTTTTCACAAAATTACTTAAAAAATTGTACCGTGCATGTTTTTCCAAGACTTTATTTTTGTCTGCAACTTTGTCTCAGACGTCATTTCGAATGGAACTGACGTTTTCATGCTACGATTTATTAAAAAATGTCGAATACGCCATTTTGTAAATTCAAAATGGCTGAATTTTAGCACAAATGTGAATTATTGCCCATAAGAAACAATTATGTACATTTTCATTCAAATCATTTTTGCTTTGCTATTTGGCCTGGACCTGCTCTAAAACAAAAGCGATAGTTATAGCTTGAAAAAGCAAGGTCACAGATCTCATACCATGGGAAACAGTCGTTAAACCTTTCTTCGGCTCCATTATGTTCTCCAACATTTCCAAGGTGTTGTTGGCTGATGACACTGACGTTATTTCAATTATGGGAATTTTGTGAACTGGAAGTAAATACAATGTGGCTCGTGTGAAAACAAAAATATCATATAGATGGTTGATTAATTGATTAAATTCTCACATTCAGGAAACACGTGATAAAGTGCCATGTTGAGTCGACGAAATCGGCTATTTATTCCTAGTGCTGACTGTGCAAACAGAACATGGAACATCATCAGGATGTAATAAAGGGCATAGAATGGGCAGTATCCCAGTACATTGGCACCTAGAATCAAATGGTAACCTGATTATTTAGAGAAGCAGAAATACTTATTTGTATAAATGTATTAACCATTCAGTACTCGCGCCGTTGTACAAAGTGCAAAACGCAAAAAAAAACTAATGATTTTGAAACTTACTCAACGTGAAACTAATCATGTTACTAATTACTAATCATGAAACTTAATACCCATTTTTAATAGACCAATATTTCAAGAATAATTTGGAGAATATAAGGATTCAAGAAGCGCTTTCTAGCTGAAAATAACATACTGTAATATTTTGTACAACACGCGAGTGCTCGTTTAACAAAATTTGGCGCAAGTACTGAAAGGAAAGGTAAAATAGAATATTGGGACTGAAAGTGAATATGTACATAGTTCGATACAACCAAAGATTTTTTTTCGCATTGGCTTCGAAATTTTCTCGATATCTCTGAGATTTCGTTTTTATGGCTTTCTCAGTCTAGGGTAATTCATGAAAGCCATAAAAACGAAATCTCCATAAAACCAGTCGAACAACCAAATCGATATCTCTGAGCTTATAATTTTATTGTGCTTATCACACAATACCGCCATGCACCAAATACCGGTGCATTTTTATTTAATATTGCTTCCGCTTTGCAGCTTAACCTGCTAACCTGCTGTTCTATCATTGGCATCTTGCAATCAGCCGCATTTTGAAGTGCGTATGTTCCGTTTCATGACTAACCTGTCAAAACTCGTTAACCCAGTCGTAAAAATTAAATCAGATTTACGCTGAATAACTAGAGAATTCTTTGAATACACTCAGCGAAGTGGTTTGGAACTAAAATGCAGTGAAATTACCGTTTAAATTTTGGATGCCAAAAAAACAGTAAATGGGTGTAGAAGCCCTAACAATTTTACCATAACCATATACGTTTCAAATTTAATTTTGTGGATATTACTTACTGCAATTGAAGATAGTGCCATCATGTTCCTCAATCTTTTTTTACATAAGATAAATTGAACGACGATAATTTCGAAGTACAGTTCCTGTGATATAGTGTTTGGAAATACAATTAAAAATATAAATAAAAGGTATTTTTTAAATGTTTGTCAGCAATAGTTATGATTTAAGAGCGCTCACTCTTAGTGAACGCTCAAAGTGTCAAACACATATTTCACAACCTCTTCTTGTAATTGATAAGTACAAAATCTCATTAGTAATTCTAATGATTTAATAATTCTGAAAATCATGATTTATAGCGAAGTTAGGACAATCTATCAACTAAAATGTACAAATGTTCGGATTTTGTTGATGCCTCACATCAAGTTATTATATCTTAATCGCATAAATACATAAACGCAGGACATTTTTGTGCTGTTTCTGATGCAATAATTTTTAATACTGTTCTGTGGACTAATCTAATTTAAACATTTCTTTGCAACAACTCAGTTCTCCAAACCTATTGAAGCTCTAGAAACTGTTTATTTATGATGATTTCATTGAAACCAGAATGGTTTGCGTCATGCATTAAGTGAATACAAGGAACAGGTAGTTCTGGTTTCAAGGGGTCGTCTAATATCTTTTTTTTTCTTCCCAGAACTGTTCTTGGACACAAGTTTTACATTCACAATTATATGATGATGGTGATGATGGTCCCACCTCTTCCCCTACAAAAGTTTGAGCTGGACGATTTATCTTTAACATTTTAAAATATTACATTTTAACCAGGTTAGCAAACAAAAACGACCTGATTATACAGTTGCAGAATTAAATTCCCTCTAGAGTTTGCAGTTGCTTCACAATGATATAAATGTGAATATACTTAAGCATCCTCCTCTTAGGATAAATGATGGCTTCAGCACTCATTGACATCGGCAACCAAAATTACAACGTTAATTTCGCTGTCGTTAAATGTATTTAGTATTTAAACGATTCCATAGTCTTTCAGCTTCAATTTGATTATATTTTTACCAGTGAGCAATCCTGTTATATCACGATTTTTTTTTTCAAATCAAAAACAACATGTGAAAAGGACATACAAGCTTTTTGTAAACAAATCTTCTTATATGTCCTTTTCTCGCCACCCACATGACACCCACGCAAACCATCAACATCACCGGGTAGGGGAAACTTTCCCTATCCCGCTGATGTTGTTTGTTTGCCTGAGCGACAGTCGGTTGGCGAGAAAAGGACCTACACAGTTTTGTTTACAAAAAACAGGGCCACATGTGGTCGTGAAATAAAACTACAAAATACGGTTGATTTTGAGTTGCCGATAATAGAACAGCTAGTTAAGACGCAGTTCAAATGGAAATTTGCCCAAGGAATAATGGCTGCCGGCAATAGCCACACTCACCTGGGAAGTTTGGAGCGTTGTAAAAAGGTTTTCAAACCGTTTTGAACAATTATTAATGGCCTACTTTTCATAATTAAAATTACAGTGTTAAAAAGTACTATTTTTCAGCATCCAGTGCACTATTTTGAGTGCAAAAAATTGTGTATGCATCTCGTTGGAAAAACCAATTTTCCCAACACTCGTCGTAATTATCCAACTATGGATAAACTACGACTCGTGTTTCCTTGATTCGTTTTCCGTCGAGCTTGTTGTCCGTGCAGAGCACCCTGCTACCGACGCCATGGAGAAAACTCCCACATCTGGACCCTACCTATCGACCCATCAACTCATGTACCGGGGACCAACGGCTTTACCTCCCTTCCGAAGGAAGGCGTGATCAGAGATGTTATGCCTCAGAACATCCCGGCGGCGCCGACTGGGATTGAACTCAGGCCTGCTGGGATGAGAGGTAATCACGCTTACCACTACACCACCGGCGCCACTGCGACTTGTGTTGAAAAAATTTTCTTATTCAACTTGTAGGCATCTTCTTTTTACAAATTGCAGTGCTACAATGCTTATTCAAAATAATCCGTTAGAGATAACTTCGTCAAGATTCATAATTCGTCAATTAATTAAAAAAAATGTGATAACTGTTCAAATTACAACGTCTCTTAAATTCTGCTAGTGTTGTCGCACGTTTAATTTTTCTAGGCATCGAATTGAAAACATGTATTCCTTTAAAATATAATGAATTTTGTGAAGCACAAGTCAAGAAATGTGGTGTTCTTATTTCGTCCGCATTTCTAGTATTATATCATAGTTTTTAGTTACATTTAAGCCAAGTTTAATTGTATTAAACTTATCTAATTCAGTGTGTGGGTATAAGATAAACCTCGTAGTGACTAATCACATTAGCTTTAAGTTCAGCTATAATTAAGTTCACTAGATTACTAGATAATTTTAAGAATAACGAGAGCGATGAAATTACGTTTTTCACTTGGTTGCTTTGTTCTTGGTTGTTTTTCTCTTTTACTCACCCGATGTGACAGATCGATAACTGTCACTCTGCTGTCACTTCGCTGCCGAACCCACTGCAGGGGTGTTCCGACACAAGTAGGTTCCAACGGTAGGTGTGCTCAGGCCAGTGTGGCCAACACTCCCCCCAGGGTACGACAACCCCTGGCTTACTCTCCGTCGCACCCGAGGGGGGCGGCACATCTAAATCTCAAGTTTAGATGCTCAAAAAATCTCCGCTATCGAATCAATCTTCGAAAAATCTTCTTTCATTTGTCGCATCTACTTGCATCGCTCATCATCTTTTTGCAGGAAATCTTCAGAATCATCATCAATCTTCTTTCTATCTAATCAGCGTGCGCGCAGCTAGCCACAGCAAAACACAATCTTTTTTGCATCGTAGATAGAGTCGTCCCCCTCGGTCACACCGGACGTCTAATACAGCCAGCTTCGTTGCCGGACGGTCGTAGACACCGCTCGCTGTCCTCAGGGTTGCGGACCGAACCTGGTCATCCTGGCTGACTTTGGTACTGATGACTTCCCCCTTCGGCCAACAGTTGCGGGGCAAGTTGGAATCGGCGATAACTACAATATCGCCCACGGCGATCGGTTTTGTATAACGAAACCATTTGGTGCGGTGAGTGATTTCTGGAAAGTAGTCCGACACCCAACGCTTCCAATATTGGTTTGCTAAAATCTGTGAGGTACACCAATTCTGCTTTACGGCCACTCGGCTATCATCGAGGCTCGTGATCGGTTTCGAACCGTTGGACGAACCGAGTAAGAAATGATCCGGAGTCAACGCTGGGGCCGAATCCTCATCTATCGGCACATGAGTTTACGGACGCGAGTTGACGGTGTTCTCGGAACTCCATCCTCCGCACACGGTCCATCCAAGCCGTGAATTCACAGCGATTGGTTGACCGATGTCCCCTTCACGATTTTTCAGGCCAAGACTGAGCAGGGCGTGCTTCATCCCTATTAGAATGCGTGGACGAGCATCGCGATAAGATTCGATTGGCAGACTTCGAAGGTGTGGATACAGCTTGGACAACTCAGTCATGTCCAACGTTTGCTGTGGCAACATTAGCTCGTTCGCCGTCCTAACATCGCTTAAGAGGAATTTCTTGCTTTCACTCTTGACGCCAGAAATGTGAAGACTGTAGATGCGAGAGTGCAGTGTTCGACGATGCTGTGCCCAGTTGAGTTTGAGCGATGGCGGTAGTTTGCCGACTAGCTGCTGTAGTAGAGTTACATTGTACATATACTCCTGCAGTCCACACGCGTCTACGGTGGCACAGCAGTTTTGGACATTCACCGCAAAGTCTACTAGCGTTTCCAGCTTGTCTTCTCGAACCGGCGATAAAGAGCTCACCTTCCCAATTAGCAATTGTATGATCACCTCTGGTTGACCAAACAGCATCTTAAAAGTGGACAGAATGCCAGGAACGTTTCCGGAATGCATCAGCCGACTCTTGACAGCATCGTCCGTAAATCCGCACATGGTGGTTGTTCGATTTTACATGGATATGAAAACTGGCCACTCCTCTGGATTGCCCGAAAACGTAGGCAAATCTTTTGATACTGCTTGTCGTGCTGCAACTTGAGAGCGGGAAAGTTGAAACTGGTCATTATCATCCACAATCAACGAGTTTACTGAAGGCCCTCTATCTCTGTCGCCTGTA